TCTTTGACTCGGGCGACGGGCGGGCGGGCAAGGGAGGCGGGGCGCCGCAGGCACCATCTTGGAAGCGGGAGCTGGGCGGGGCTGCCGTGCGCGGGGGAGAAGGAGGAGGAAGGGGCGAGGCGCCACGTGACGCCGGCGCTAAGGCTTCCCCGCGCGCGGCCTCCAGCCAATCATAGACCCAGCTCTATCTTTCGGAACTCCGGGGCCTGCCAGTGCCGGTGCCGCCATCGTTGAAGCGGGTCGGGGGACGGGAGCCGCTTTCCCAGTCCGCCCCGTCGCCATCTTTGAAAAGGGCAGGCCCAGTCGAGGAGCGGAGAAAGACGGCTGCCGGGCCGGGAAGCACGAGGGGAGACCGGTAGGCGAGGGCGGCTGAGGGCGGAGAGGGGAGGCTTTCCGGGCGGGGGGCGTTGCGCCGAGGAGGTTCTTCCCTTCTCGCCTTTTCCGTGGGAGCTTGAGGCACTGTCCGAGACCTCTCCGAAACACCCCTGCGAGGTAGGCCGGGCTCCGCTCACCTTCAGGAAAGGTCAGGACGACCGCGCCGGCCCTCCTAACGCCCGATCGGCCTTGTTTTGCTTAGGATTTCCAACGTATTCTTAAAAATTGCCCTTCCTGTGGCCCCTTTTCGCTTCAGAGCGCGTGGGAGCTTTTCCCCTTCCTTCTCCGCCAACCACCCCCTTGCGAGGTAGGCCTGGCCCGAAGTCCCCCGCGTGGTTCCCTGCCCTATGTCGGACTTGAACCCGGGCCTCGCCAGGCCCATCCGGCCCCTCCAGGAGCTGAAAGCAGGTTTCCCGGCGTCTCCCCCAACAACCCTCCTGCAAGGTAGGCCGGGCTGGGGCCGAGCGGTGAGATCTCGCCCTGCGGCTGGAGGGCTTGAATCCCACCCCCCAGCTGGGCAGGATCCAGGCCGCCTCTCTCTGCCCGTTGGAAGGGACCTCAGAGGACCTCAGGTCCAACCCCAGCACCCTGCAGGACCTTCTCAGACCTTTTTTCTCTCAGGACTACTTTTAAAAATTACGGAGGACCCCAAAAGAGCTTTTATTTGTATGAGTTATATGTATCGATATTTACCGTGTTAAAAATTAAAATTGATGTATTCGTAGAATATTGGATCATGTAAAAATAACAATATTAAACCCATTAGATATTAACATAAATAAAATATTTTTTGTAAAAAAACCTATATTTTTTTAACAAATAAAAAAAATGAGAGTGACATTGTTTTAAATTTTTGCAAATATTTTCAATATCTGGCAAATAATTTTGATTTTTTTTAAGGGAGGGACTTGGGGGACCTCCAGGCGTCCTCGGACCACACTTTAAGAAATGCTGCGCTCCGCTATTCCCACTGGACGACTCTTTAATTTAAAGATAGCATCAGGCTATCTCTAGATTTTAAAAAAAAAAAAAAGTTCATGACGGGGGGAGCCTTGCAGCCTAAACATCAACAGTAAAAAATGTTACTTCTGGAAATTTCCCCACAAAAGCCACGGTGCAGTTACATTTGCACGTTCTTTAGCATAAAACTAGCTGCTCCACTGACTTGAGAAGGAGAAGCTTCGTTTCGGTCAATGACCAGGAAATAACACGAGGAAATATAAACTAGGGTGGCCCTCCCAGCTACGTTCTGGCGGGAGTCCCCTGCCTTGAAACACACCTGGCCGATGCAGCCGCTCTGCCTGCCCGAAAGCAAGAGGGAAGAGAAGGTGGCAGCAGCACCGTGCCCCCTCCCCCCTCCCTCACCTGGCTGTTTAAGCCAATTCCAAGCAAAATATCTTTTTCCCCTGTTAGTTACCCACCTATTATTGTCATTAACCAAACCCAGAGGAAGATTTCTCAGAGGTACTTTGGTCCTTCTAGGCCATTCATTCATTCATTTATTTAATCAATCAGTCAACCAATTTCTGTAGCCACCCATCTCAACAAGTAACTCTGGGCAGCAAGCAGTATTAAAGTAACATTAAAAACATTTGCAGCCATAAATACAAAAATTAAAAAAGCTGAGGAAGGTATCACAATCAACAGTTGCTGACATGGCCAGGAAATGGGCTGCTTTGCACGCTTGGGGCCCTTGACAGTCCCTTGGGGGCAGGTGCAGCCCTGGCCCCGGCTGTTGCTGCTGCGCTGGTCCCAGGATTGCAAAGCCTCTGTCATCCCGTCTGCCCCAGCTCCGCTGGTGGGGCTTCTCTGGGTCTGATAGTGCCCCTGCAGCATTATCTGTCGTGGTGGTGTTGGAAGGGGTGATGCGACATCACTTTTGGATTGGATTTTTTAAAAATCTGTTTCATTGTTATAAGACACTTGTAACTTTATATTACTTTGATACAATGACATTTATACAGTGTCGGCTACAGATTATTAACACCCCTCATCCCCTCTTTTCAATAATGTCTTCCGGTACATATTTATCCAATTACTGTCAACACCAGTATAGCTCTGTCGCCTTAAAACACTAGTTAACATATAAAACAGGCTTGCTGTATTAAATAGCACAGCTTTATAGGTCGTAGGAAAATTTAAGGATACTTATTGTGGCTGACTATAGTTGGAGGTAGAAAGGGAACAAAAGATCTTAGTTAAAAGAGGAGCAAATGGAAATGTATGGTGATGTATTATGATCTCTTGCCTTTGGCAAAATAACTGTTGGGAATGGAAGACCCTTCCCCCAATCAGTTGATGTCCACACATGATAGTAGACTTCTTATTACTCATTTTTTAATTGGCTATTCAAAAATGTATTTGTCATGCCTAGCTTTAAGGGTTTTAAAAATTTTTTAAAAATTCTTATCCACATTTTTAAAAATTCTTATCTACAGTTTAAGGAAGGTGGAGCCCTTCAGAGTATGTTTTTCAATGTGTGTAGTCAAGATAAGCATAATAAAATATTTAATCCTGTGTTTTCTAGCTCTTGCTATAATTGAAAGTATGGAGGTCTTCGACAAGATGCTCTCTAAATTTAAGCTATCTTTTGGATGCAATTCACAGTTAGAGCACCTCAAAAAGATTGTGATAATTTGAACTCATATTTTCTACATTTTGTGTCTTTTTTGTTTTGGGGAACATTGTCTGCTTTCTTTCAGATCTTGAATTAATTCCAGCATGGCAGAGCATGGGATCTCTATCAGTCAACAAGTGGCTGTGGTTTGCGATAGTTACTCCTCTCCCGAGGCACTCCAGAAATTTATCCAGGATGTTCAAGCAGTTGTTGGAGCTGAAGGTCATGTTTCTGTAGAAAACATCAATCAGCTGCTTTACTGTGAGTGTTCAGAAGTACTGATTATTATGGTAAATATATTTGAGTTAAACATAAAATGTTCCATTTATAAAGGAGAATTCTTCACTATTGTTAACACATTAGAAAACTTATGTTAAAGTCTCATGCTCTATGCAGGATGATACATTCTCATGTTAAAAATACAGGCAATCCTCAGTTAATGGCTGTCCTGTTTAGCGACCGTTTGAAGTTATGACGGCCCTGAATGAGGAGACTTATGACAGGTCCTCAAAGGTCCTCAAATTTACAACTGTCAAAGTGTCCCCATAGTCACATGATCGAGATTCGGGCACTTGGTAACTGGCGCACATTTACAATGGTCGCAGCAGCCCATGGTCATATGATCACCATTTTTGTGCATCACAGCTGGCTTCAAACAAGCAAAGTCAATGGGGAAGCTGGCAGTAAAACCATGAATCATGGTCACGTGATGTCTTGCTTAACATCCTGGAGTGATTAGCTTAACGACTGCAGCAGACATAAGTTGGGTGTGGTCATGTGACATTTCACTTAACGACTGCATCACTTAGCTATGGAGTTATCAGTCCCAATTGTGGTGGTTAAGTAAGGACTGCCTGTAGTTACAGGTAAAAACTGCTTAGACACCGTGTGGAGTCCTTGGGGTTCTCTAAGCTTGGTTCTTCTCTTGCAAACGTTTCATTATCCGGCTAGGTAACTTCTTCAGTGCTAAAATGGGATGGGGTTTGTTCTCTATTTATATACTGTGGCCTGCGTTGCTGCAGCCTTCAACAAGCACATAGAGATAAACAGCAACTACATACTATTCAAAAGAGACAAAAGACCAGAACATCTCCTCACCAGCAATCATC